ATGTGCGTTAACTAGTGGTGAAATTGGTCTATGTATTTATTTGTGAATTAAAGTCAAGGCGACATTTTTTTTTAATGTTTTTGAAAATATACCTTCCTCAGAATGGAATTTATGATTTATTTTAATTTTGCTAAAAAAATCTGATTATCAAAAATACCTACACAGAACAAAACCTCTTTTTAGGGGTGGTTTTGAAGAATCTCTAAAACTACATATCTTAGCGTTTGATTTGAATAGTTTCAAGTCGGTAATTAAAAATAAAAATACGTGTTCAATGGTTTGTTTAAAAGGGTTGATTTTCTAAAAATATTTTCCTAGTGTATCTCTAAATCCTTTTAAGAAATACACTCTTTAAAGGATGATGATTCATAAAATTGCTTTGAAATTTGATAAGATTGAAACGAGTGTAATTTAAATTCTAACTACCCTTTTTAATTTAAGACATAATTTTTAATGCTTTGATCATTTTTTTTTTATGAGAAGAGAATAAAGAAAAATTATCGCAAATTCATCTACGTAAATTTTCATTTTCAAACATTAGGTGCTTTAGTTTAAGATGTTGAATTAGAGGCCACAATAAGGGATAAACAGTTTATTTAGTTTAAAACCAGGTCCGACGTTTCGCCTACTGTTCTTAACCTTTTTCAAGGCTACTATTACTAACTACATGTACTACAGCCTTGAAAAAGGTTAAGTACAAAACGGGAAACGTCGGACCAGGTTTTAAATTAAACAAATTATTTATCCCTTATTATGGCTCTGATTCTACATCAGGATTTAATTAAGGGACGAAAAAAAAAATAAGGAGAAATGTCCAAGTCATCCAGTCAATAACAAATCAATAAAATGCATTATGATAGGTATGATGGTCCATCAAAAAGGTCAAGAATTGATTATTATGGAGGCATGGTAAAAACGTATCAACTGGGAAACTTTGGAGACCATGGGTCAAGTATTAAACTAGCACCGGTAACAACAGAAAAAGAACAGAATGTCTTGACTTGTTTGCAAGTTAATGGAACCAGCGATATCGCTATAGAACCACAAACTGTTCTACCATCTTTAGTTGGATTTGAGTGTATTGGTACGGTTCTAAAAAACTACATTTCAATATATTTTAAGCAAGCTGAGAAATTATTATAAAATAAGTGTATACAGGGGGTCAATATTAGACCTCAAAGGGCTTTGAATAAAGTTAGCAAGGGTCAAATGGAGTTGCAAACATATTTACACATTCCTAAACTGTATATGTTTTTTAAATTTCAAATCGCAATTAAATTACATACTGAAAAGTGTAGAATAAATAATTCACGTGCTTATAGGTAAAAGATGTTATAAAATTGCAGAAAAAATGAGATAAAATTCATAGGGATTGTTAGAAAAATTATTTTATTTACTATTAAAATTTAATCTGGGGTTTTAGTTGTATTGAGTAAAGAATTTTCAGTTAGCTTTGAAATTTTGAAGTTGACTTTTCAGTTCAAACAAAATGAGGTCAATCATTTTTTGGTGTTTTCAAAATTGATAAGATGCATAAAGTTCTGCATAAGAGTGTATACTTCTTAATATCGCTAGCCATAAATTATACGTTGCACATTTTGATTTATTTAGCCCTTTGTGACAGGGGAGATAAACCTTGTTACCTATTTCCTTAAGTAGATCGAGATAAATATATTAATTATCACGACCGTAGTAACATGGATGGTTTCTATTATCATGGAGACATAGAATATATAACGGAGATACTTAAAAATCGTTTGTACTTTGCAGTACTCGAAAAAAGCGAAAGTATTGAACTCCAGAGCTCATTGGAAACATTTTATTTTTGTACTGATAGCGAATACGTTTATTTGAATTTTTATCACGACTTTGGCCCTTTAAATATTTCATGTCTTTTCAAATATTGCTACAAACTTAATCAGTTACTAAAGAACCCGATCCAAGGAATCCAGCGATTTGTACATTATTCGTCGAAAGATCCCAACAAAAAAACGAATGCAAGCTTTTTGATTGGCAGTTATGCGATACTTTATCTAAATATGGACCCTAAAGAAGTTTATCAAAGGCTCTATAGCGCTGGAGGAACTTTCAAGTAAACGTTTTGTAAATATTACAAACAACTCAATTTTTTTTATAGTTAATGACTATTTAATGTTTGTACCACGGCATCCCAAACGATTTTGATGTTATAATCGTAGTATTTTTTAAAAATAACGTAAAAAAAGAAACATTGCCGGCAAATTTGATTTGAAAATTTTAGGCCTTTCGTGGATGCTTCACAGGGTCCATCTCCGTATACCATTTCGATAATGGACTGCTTTAGAGCGATTAAGAAGTGCTCTTCGTTGAATTTTTTTAATTTTGACGACTTTAGTGTTGCGGAGTATGACAATCACGATAAACTTGTGAATGGTGATATGAATTGGCTGGTACCTCTAAAATTTTTGGCGTTTATAGGACCAACGGAAATCGAAAGTACAGCAGACTGTTTCAACGGCCACAATCCTAGCTTTTACATAAATTATTTCATTACTAATGATGTAAGAACGGTTATTCGGTTAAATAACAGGGTTTATAACGAGTCAGCGTAAGTTTTAATTTTAAATATATTTGATAAACTAAAGTCCAAATACAAGGAAGACGGAAAAATTTATTAGAATATGTGTTTCTTCTTCCTGAAATTGAAATTATTTCCTTCCTTGATGGTTATTACAAGAGATTTTAATAATGATAATAATTAAGTTTAAGACCGTTTTAGTTTTACTAAAGCTGGTATTGAGCACTACGACTTGTTTTTCCCTGACGGTACCATTCCCCCAAAGCATATTTTGTTGAAATTTTTGGACATTGCCGAACATGCACCCGCTTCTATAGCAGTGCATTGTAAGGTAAAATCGAACGATTTTTTTGTTATTTTTACAAAACGAGAACTTTCTTCGTTTCAATTAGGCCGGATTGGGCAGGACCGGATCTCTGATAGGAGCCTATATCATTAAACACTATCATCTAACGGCTAGAGAAGCAATTTCCTGGATGCGCATTTGTCGTCCTGGGTCCGTTATAGGGCCCCAACAAGATTGGCTCGAAAAAATTGAAAAATGGCTTTGGAAACAGGGTAGTCACTACAGGTAAAGGAACAATTTTAAAAGCTCTATCTCATTTATATGTTATTAGATTTTTGTACTTTTGAAATTGTATTTGGTACGAATTTGTTTAGAAATCGTCATTTTTTATCTTAAAAACTAAATTTCGTTACAGTTTTAAATCTTATTCGAGTTTTTTCAATCAAAAAAATTTCTGTGAAAACCCTTGATACAAATTTTCTTTACTTGGGTATTAAAATTGTATTTGGTACGAATTTGTTTAGAAATCGTCATTTTGGAGACGGTGACAAAATACCCTTTCACAAATATGGCATCTACAGTATAAAGTGGATGAACGAGCGCGATAAAGGCCTCCGAGACGCAAAAAAAGACACGGCTAAAAGGAGAAGCGTTTGCGACGAAGTGAACCAAATGTCCACTCAAAACAAGGTCTTCGCCCAGAAGCAGAGCATTGAAAGGAAAAAAATGTTATTGAACCAAAAAGAAGAAGAATTGAGGCGTCTTTCGAATCTGTTATACAAGGTCCAAACGAAGCAGAAAACGAGAAGGAAAGGTGATGACGAATTCGCAACGAACCCCTCAGCTTCCCCAGTCGATATTGACAACAGACTAAGAAGAAGTAAAACAGCGGCAGTTAAAAGAGGAGACAGGGAGATGGACGTACCGTTGGAATACATGGGACAACTTAAACGCAGGATTACCACCGCGATAACTAATCGAAACTCTGCCCAAAATCAGATATATTCTTTTGAGCAAATCCCCATGACGCCATTGTGCAGCTCCATGAAGACAGGACGAAGACGCGACTATCCTGATGGACATAAAAAACATGCAACACAAGGTGATAAGTTGAACGATATCAAAATTAAAAGGTTTATCGAGAGAATAGGATCGGCGAAATCCAGCGGCAGACCACAACAAGTTGATGTAGGAATGGAAAGGAGAGAATTTTCCACAATGGATAACAAGAAACCTGGTAAAATTGCCAGTAATTTACTGAAGAAACTACCCATCATCCAACGTTCTAGACGAAGTGATATGATTGCTTGAAGAAATTATAAATCCGAAAAAATTTAAGTAATAGAAAGAAAAAATAATTTTTGATTCTTATCAAGTGCAGTAATAGGTATTACAATGTTTTACTTATGCATATTAAAGAAATTATCAATTTAAGTATCAAAATTTGAATGTAACTTATAAAGTTGTTGCGAAGAACAAATGTACACATGACATTTAAAATATATTTTTATACTAAAATTTGTCTTCTTAGGTCTTCTATAATGTTGAGAGTACAGTTTTTATTATTGTGATTATTATTTATACATTTTTGATGTGGAATGCAAAGTTGCAAATAAATCTGTATTCTTCAGTCATGATAAATTTTATGTGTTCATTACGTTTCTGTTTAAATTTACTTCCACTTTGTCCTATGTAGATAACTCGTGCGCTTTGAGTTACAGTACTTGAACATTGCCCACTGTTGTAGTTTGATTTTTATATTTTTTTTTTTGGTTTGAATCCGAAGTGGTCTTTTTTGTAAATAAAATTTGTCTGTTACACTTTTTAATTAAGATAAGCAGTTTTAAAGAAATTAATAAGTGTTTTTTTTTTGAAAATGACACCTATACATATACAAGTAAGAAACTATGCCCAATAGTTAAGTATGATGAACTTTAAACTTTTCCTTATCGACCCAAAGTGTGTTTGATACTAGCGACTGTTTATTTATATTATGTTTGTACACAAAAATATAAAATTTATAACAAATTTTTGTTGACAAGTCCAGATGTCATATAAACAAAAATAGTTATTTTACGAACGATAAGGACATAAATACGAAATGAAATTAATTATAACAGAAAATCTTAACGTTATTTAGCGCAAATGTAATAAAATTCTATAGCAGTTTTTTATTTTATTCAAAAATTTTTGAAGGACCTACATATAAGTTATTAACATCTTCCAAGTGCGCGCTACTTTTATAATAATGA